AACGTGTTGTGATTACACGCTGAATTGTCATGATTCGACTCCCGCTTGGGATGTTGTTAAGAGCTATGTGGGGTCGAAACTGCAGTCCACTCCCGCCGGGATGAGAACTACTTTTAGGAAAGCAAGGCTATGTGAAATGCAATAGAAACGTCAGCTCCAATCCTATTATTGCTGGAAAAATCAACTACAAGTCCTTAATTATCTTAAATGAAATATGGTGAACACAACTCATGTACAAGTGGATTAGTTTTTATAGAATAGTTACTTGATCAGTCCAGGTCTCTTCGGATGATTTAGGGATTGGTAGTTGATTGTTTCCAGGAGCAAATGAGTAGGCCTCATGATGCCAATTAATCTCAATTAACTTTGCCCCGCAAAAGATATTCTCTTCCAGAATGGATTACCACTTGTTGGTATGGACCCCAGGCCACCTTATGGGCAATTGGCCGATTGCCTCTAAACCAATTTATTATGGAAACGCTTTAAAGTTTTTCAATTCTCTTGAGCTTCTATATTATGGTATTTGTGAAAAAGCCTCATTCAGTGGCTTAATTTACTATTTTATGGCTAAAATAGCCTTATTTTAATAGCGAGCCCTCAGAATGCTGGTCTAATTAGTCTTGTGCAGGGAAGGATAATGTAGGATCTTCCCAAAATAAAGCATTTGAGCCACATGAGACTAGTAACATTCACTTACTCACCAAATTATTTTCTCGTTCAAGGTGGACACGAGTTGTTGCCTCTCCTGAGTCCCATCAGCACCCTCAGTAGGATTTGATGACAATTCGTGCGTACCACACAGTTCGAAAGCGATTGTTGATAAATCAAACTGTGTGCCATTCCAATTAACACTTTTCCTAATATTTGCTGTGTATAGCATTCGAGTCTTTCCATAATTGAGGAGTAAGAACGATATAGTCAAGTGGTAAAGTTGCCACGCTACTCAAGACGTGGACTATAATCCTAATTGGGATGCGGATAAGACCCATGCGAGGCAGAAACCTTAGTTTTGTCTGGACAAGCGAGCCTTAAGGGAAACAATTGCCTCGAAAGTAGTAGTCATTTGACAGAAAGTGGCCATTAAATTTAATCCGCAAATAGCCTAAAGCAGTGGTTCCCAAACTTTTTAATTAACATTTTTCCATGGCGTCCTACTCTAAGTATGACTATTCGTAAGTAAGAGATAAAAAGGAATGAAAACTCGTGTATCTTCATTATTATTTCTATTTTATTAGCATTAAATTAATATTTAATAATTAATGTGATGGATGAGCCTGCAAATCACAGCACATTTTCTCAAATCGTGGAATTAAACTGAACACGGCCGGCCTCATTCCCTTTTCCACGCTTATTTTTGCTCTATACTTGCTTTTTATTACAGCGGCCGCCGAAAATCCAGCTTCGCACAAATACGACGTCGAAAATGGAATTATAAACCAAACACTATACAGTTGTCATCATATTTACGATATTTTCGTTTCTTCGCACCAGTGCCCTACTTTCTTTATCTGCATTATTATTTTTTCTAACTGTTCAAAAGTCGGTCCATTATCAAAGATACGAGAGCCAAAAATCACAAAATTATTTATCAAAGACAACAAACAATAAGTAATACAGCACTAACAAAATTACAATATGAACTTATTTACTAATTTATGTCACTGTTTATTTATACATGAAGCGCAAAGTTTAACTTAACTAGACTCAATCGAGCCGCCAACGTTTGCTTGTATACTTTCCGCAAAATCTTCCAGAACATGCCATGTTAGAGATTGTCACTTACTGTAGACAAAAGCACAAGTTGCAGAGTAACTAGTAGTATCAATAATACAGCTGATATTCATATCAAGTAATAGGAAGCTTTAATACACTTTTGCGGTATTGCTTGTTTATTCATTCGGCCATGCGGAGAGACCAGATGGTCATTTTAGGCACCCAACCTCGTTCCCTCTTCAAGCTAACGCCTAATGTGAGTTAGTCTAAAATGTCCCTATTATTGCCAAGTTTCTCTCCGTTGCATTGCTTCCATCTATTTGGATCTCCTTCTTTCATCCGTTTTGTCTCCAACCGAATCCTTAGACCTCCCTCTATCAGTTCGTGTCTGCTTGCCTCCGTTGGCATAAAAGTCTACTATTGCTATGACCAGTCGAGGCAACACAAATGCAGTTCTCGAAATAAGGTTCAGAGTTTTTATCGTATCGGATAATAAAGTGTGCTTCAATCAGTGCAGTCAACCATGACCCATATGACCTCCTTGCCTGCCGTCTTTGCCGTATGCAGCATTTTGTCATCCTCTTTCACTTATCTTATGAATCTTTGTCCTGTTCTCCAACAATTCATGTCGCCAAAGTTGCGTCTCCGTCAAAAGCTGCGACCATCTCCATCCTCTGGCCGGCCTCGTTTCCTGCAAGAAACTGCTTTTTCTGTTCCCTCGCTTCTCAGACCTCATGGCAACACTTGTCGTTTGTCAGAACAGATGCTGAGCTATCCGTTTTGTAAGAAGAAGCCCAGCATTCGGACGTTCTCTCTTGACGAGCCTCAACCTTCTCGTCTCGTCTCTTGCCCAAACCAGCGGCTAGCGTGCAGAGTAAATGCTGAGACGTCCACACTTGGTTGACCAACTCAAATTGCTTGACAATGAAACCCATGCTCGAGGGTGTAGAAGCAAAACATGTTCCTATGGTACAGGAATATGTCCCAATTTCCGATTTCATGGTGCTCATTTGGCACTTGACAGCCTGCACAAATAAATTGCAGGGAACAAGCTCTAAACAGCCATATTATGCTCGACCGAGATCTTCCTACAGACTCTGCATGCGAGTGCTTTAGTTGGCCAACAGATTAATTTTGTAAGAGAGGAGAAGACTCATTCGAGATATTTGGCAGTTAAAATAGCCATTATTCTCTTAGTTTAATTCAACCTATAGGGCTTAAGATGACGAATAAATGTCATTTAAATGTTACCAAATCGACGGGAATATACCTCAGACTTTCATTGAATTTCTAAAAGATATTATTATTAAACAGCCAGTTTTGTATCACCTTAAACGAAATTGGGTAATTACATCCTATAATGCTATTCCAATGTTAGTCTTGCATCTAAGTATAAAAGAAAATTAAGTATTGTAGTCGATTTCATCGACAATCCTACCACAAAAGGTGGCATATAAAATGAAATTCACATCTGCCCCGTGACCCAAGGGCACTCTTGGTAGACAAAGCTACGGGAAATTCAAAGTAAACGTGATGTCAGGTCATATCATTAAAAAAATTCAACTACCGGTCATTCATAACTTTGTATAAAGTGGGGTAAATACATTTCATATACATGATTTACTGCTAGTCTAAAAGCCTATTTCTAAACGAAATATTGCCATTTTACCTGCTACTATGAGACTAATAGCCTATTTTATGGGTCGAAAAGAAGACATGTTGCCTTGGCAATATGAAACAGCCGAAAATAAATTTCACTAAGGGACATGGTGACAGCATAGTTTCGTATTTGAATTATCTATGATCTCGACTATAATAGTGCATACATGATTTGCTTGGC